ACAAGACTTATTTTATCAAATCCAATTTGCGAATAAAAACATTTCAAGATTAGGGTTGAGGGGATATCCACATATGGAACAAATAAAAATATATACACATGTACTAAAAATATCCCTTACACCACATGCAATTATTCAAGTTCGATTAATAAAACACATGGGAGGATAGATTAAAAAAAATAAATTTCAAATAGGCAAAATAGTATTACTTATGCATCAAAGTGGTCTTGAATAAAAATTCAAACAAACAAATTGAAAGAATTGTGATACTCCTCTTTCGGTTTGTCTCTGTGGGTGATTTGTCATTATCCATGGCATATTGTGTCAAATATGAACTCCCTATCACGTGTATATCAAAAGTTATCGCCTAAGTTGATTTCTTTTAAAACTAGGTCAAACATGAGGGCAAAGGATGGGCCAGAAATCTCAACATGCTCCTAAATATTTTGTCACAGATAATGCACATGAAAGAAATGAAAATCTTACCTCTACTGAAAAAGCTTCATTGAAAAAATAACATTCTAGATAAGAAGGTCAAACATTAGGGTTCACGGTCACGTGGTCAAAAATCATAGTGTATTTAGAAAGGTCTTGTCAAAGGTAATACACAATTTTTTTTTTATATGAAAGCCTTCTCATTCGAAAGATACGGATAATTTAACATAATGTTTGATTTTGTGAATAGTAGTCAAATTTCAAGGCCTAGGGAGGTCAAAATCATATATATCTAGAAAGGCCATTTCACAGATCACTGTAGTATACATTTGTAATATGAAAATCTTATCTCTTCTAATTCGAAATATATGATCAAGGTCAAAGTTTTTGTTACCGACTTTCAAGCTGAAGGACAATTAGACGAATGAGATTTAAAGTCCCCTCGCTTTTGCGGGGGACAATTACAAATTAAATGTTTTACACGATTGAGACGGAGAAGAGAGAAAAAAAGAGGGCTAGGAAAGAGAAAGAGAGAAGAAGAGAAAGACAGGGAGATAGAATTTTTTAATTCTTGGACAATTTGGACAATCTTTAATACACATTAAAACATCTCTAAAAGAATGAACTTATTTCTTTTTTCAACTAAAAGTCGTTCAAATAAATTTTTTAAATAAAAGTTGTGTCTTTTTTGTCCCCTTCCAAAGTTTATCATACGTGCTGCAAGGCATATTTGATTTCAAACATAAGTTTGAACTAAATATATATTATTTGATTTATTCAGAATATAACTCTCCAAGAGTCAATCTGAATAGTTCATGCTTTACTTCACGCACGTAGTAAATTCTTGTTCCTGACCCATTCTTCGCATCATATCCCAGGCATTCGTATGTAGATTTTTAAACTGCAGTTTTTGGGCTTTAAATAATTTGCACAAAAATTAAATTTCATTCCTCTGTCTAACTGTCAGTCTATCTCTCTGTCAGTCTGTCTGTCCGTCACATAAACTTTAACCTGGACCAGAATCTTTGATTTAAAGGACCTATGGTTTTCATATTTCACTTGTGTATTTACTGTGAAATGACCTTTCTTTTGGGTTACATCAAATTTGACCTTTTGAACCTGTTCTTGGCTTGTGACCCTTTTTTACACAAAAATTCCTTACATTTTCTTTTCCATAAATTTTGATGGGTAGAAACTAGGACTTTCATATTTCAAATATGTAATCCTTGTGAAAAGACCTTTCACGGGATACTAAGAACGTTGACACTTCTTTGGCCCTGACCTTAAAGTTTTTCTAACTTTAAAAGAAACAAACCTTTACCTAACTTTCGAAAGGTTAGGACTAGGTCTTTCATACATAACTTCACATGTTTTATCCTTGTGATAAAATTTTTCATTGATATCAAGAACTTTGACCCTTTGATCTTTATCTTAGAGTTTGATCTACCGGTACTTTTTGAAAACGTTAAACCTGGCCATAACTTTTGAGCGGTAAGGGCTAATGCTTTAATACTTCACATATTGATACATGTGAGAAGACCTTTCAAAAGGTAATATCAACTTTGACCCTTCGGCCTGGAATTTGACCAATCTTGCAAAAACTTATCCTTGACTATAACTTGTAATCAGATGGTGCTAGGGCTTTCATTTTTCAAATCGTATATCTTGTGAGAAGACCCTACTTTTGGTACCCATAAATTTAATTTGTAATTAAGGTATACCTTTACATAGATGACTAAAAATTCCATTGTTAAGAACAAAAAATCCACATAATGCACATTATACATCTGTAATCCTTTTTTTAATTTCAATTTCAAATAGGTAGGTCAATTACCTACTTTTCATGCTAGTGGCCCCTGAGTATTTTTAGGGATATACCTCATTTTTTTTACACTATGACGATTTTTTTCTTCACTCACATGATATTATAAACAAAACTCTTTAAATAATGAAATATTATAGCCATGAAACAGCATTGCTTCAAATAAGGAAACGATTTGAGTTTGGGCCATAACTTGATAATTATTACAGTCTGAATTTCCTCTGTCATTTTATATTTTTTTCCGATTTTAATCAAATATTACAAAAATCAGAATGATAAGAACTCGAAACTATTTATAGCCTCAGGTTACTTTTGGTGCCATTATTCTCATGCTATTAGCATTATATGGGGTCATAGGTCCAATTATTGAGATACGTTGGAATGGTTTTTGTTCATATGTTTGAATTTCTTTATTTCATAGCATTCAATTAGTTAAAATAATTCATTAGCTCATTCATTAGCATATAAACTATTTGCAAAATGATGCCTAAAAATACATGTGATTAACATTGCAAGAATTAAAAGATTTTGACAGAAATGAACAAAATCAAAATTTAGTTCGAATTTCCTCTGCATTACCATTCACTGACATTCATTCTTTTATATTTTCTTCAAATAATAAAAAAAAATTAATTTTTCAAATTGATATTGAATTAAAACGTATTTATCCTTTTGAACAGTTTTTGATTTAACATATTCTTTTGTATAAAATCTCCTTTCTGTTCTCTGAAACATGAGTGAAAGTCATCCTCAAAAAAGTTAAATCTTCGCTATGCTACATAACGGAGTCATCAGTGTTTCACAGACACATCCTCTTCCTTTATAACTTTTGATTTAGAAGAGACAAAGCCTTCACAATTGACATATGCAATACCTGTGACAAGATATTTCCGAGCTAACTATGGTTACTGACCCCTAAACCTTCACCTTCACAATTGACCTCATTTTAAAAATTCACCTTCAGTGAAAATTTCTAATAAAATGACATACATGTACATGTATGATAGGGCGTTCATATTTGGCGCAATATGTCATCAGTTCCTTGAATTTTCTTGTCTCTGTTGCATATCTAATATTGAATATGATAATTGAATGAAAATGATGCAGCATTTTGAATGTTAAGGTACTTGCAATTGGCTGTATTTTGTAAACTACACATTTTAAAGAAGTTGATAGAGGTTTAACTATTTTTTCCTAACGAGCTTTTCTGTAGTTGAGGTAAGAATTCTAATAAATTTTCAACCGTTTTCGAGGTATATCATTATTTTCAATTTCAGTGGGTGGAAATGGTTTTCAGAAAATATTGATATCATTTATGTAATTTTGGTACTGTGAGCAATGAACTTACTTAATGATATCCCCGCATCCCATACAAATATAATTGGAGTTACCATGTTTTATTGAGAAAAATCCAAAATATGTGTTAGATTAAAAAGCAAAACATGATGTGGACAAAGGCAATATTTTATTAAGATTCTTTGAAAGTTTCATCAAATTTCATTCAGTGGTATGAGGTGTTGCGGATAAGAGAAGAGAACCCCAAAGCGTAACAGACAGACGAACGGACGGACATCAGAAAAATATTAATAAAAAAAATCCCTTTCCCACTCGTGAAATAAATTCCTGATACATCTACAAAACATAGAATACCCCGAATTTAATTTAATTATTCATAAACACATTTCTCAACTCTTACCTTTCCAGTAATGCATCTTCTAAAACTGAAGGATAGGCTACATAATTTTCATTTTCAAATGACATCAAGCGTAGAATTGAATGCATACTACAGACAGATGGACGGACATACCGATAACTATATACCTTCCCGCTTTTCAAGCGTCCAGGGATATAGAAATGTTAAATTTCATCAATATTGCTATGCTTTAAAAAGATATAATAAGTTACGTTCACAATAAGTCAAAAAGTTCCAATTAAGAGCCTAAATTCCTTCCCGAATGTTTGTCCCCTCCCTCCGAAAAACTTCTTTGAAAACTAGATTAGCAAACTAATTGGGAGAATACATGTCCCCCCCCCCCCCCCCCCCCCCCCCCTGCTTAATGTAAACAGTCGATTTGTAGCGGTGTTGTTGGGTCCCGGGGCATAGAGGGGTGGTAACAGGACACTTTAAAAGGAGGCAGGGCCAAAAGGAGTTTCGGTATAAAAATTTCATTACAAAATCATCTTGAGAAATTGCTCGAAAATGAAAGTTTTACATACAGGGAAAATGTATAAATCGATGAACTTAAACTTTGGAGTTTTGACCTCAAAATCAAAAGGGGTCTTCCGCAGGCAAGAGGAAGTTGTGATATGAAATTAAATTTTATTGCTAATGCTCAAAGTCTTCTCAAGATATCGCACAGAAACAAGGTGTGACAGACAGAAGTACAGACGGACTGATGGACTGACGAACAAAGAGACAAAAAAAATCCCTACCTTTAGTATAAGCCGGGGACAAGACACGATTGAAATGAAAAATTTACTCACAGACTGGTTACAGTGTATCAGTATTCAGCTTTTAGTACATTTATTATATTAAAGAAGTGATATTTGAAATGCAATTATAGAGAAAAGAGAAAATAAATTAAAAAGTATAAAACCTTCAATTAAACATATATTTGTTATTCAAAATGTTTATTGTAATAAACATTATATCATGCGAAACAAGGAAATTAAATCAAACATTTAAGTCAACAAATCTGAGAACGGAAATGACTAGCCATTTTTATCTAAATTACATGAATAAGCGACAGAGTATACATTCAATTCTACTCTGCATGTCATTAAAAATGGAAATCATGTAGACTATCCCTCAGTTTAAGAAGATACATCACTCGAAAGGTAAGAGTTGAGAAATGTGTTTATTATTAGATAAAATTAGATGTATCTGAAATGTGTTTCACGATTTTTTAATTTATATTTTTCTGATGGTTCACAGGTCCATATTTGCTCTGCTTCTGCTTTTTGATTGAATGGAGTTTTTAGCTTGAATCCTGTTCGTTATAACCATACATTTCCTTTCATTTAACAGATACATTAGTTACTTCAATTTTGATTGTTGACATTGTAATGTAAGATTCATATCAGCTTCTTATCTCAAAATTAAAAACTACAGAATCAATTTACTTTAAAACAAATAGACTAGTGTAAAAGTTAAACAAAAACGCAATATTTCTGCCGTAACCATGCTTCTGTTTGGTTTTAAATGGCGGAGAGAATTCAGGGAGAAACAAAACTTAAGGTCAAACGCAACGTAGTTTGAACATTATTGGGTTCTCCACTAGAGTTTAAGAGTTCTGCTAAAAGAAAGACTTGTGAGCAGCATTTTTAATGCCTAAATATTGTTTTATACCCCTCTTCATAAACACTTTTTGATGAAAAAAAATCTGGAATTCGTGTTACGTCATTTTTGTACATTTTTATTTGAATGATGCAAAAATTTTCAAAATCTGATAGCTCTTCAAAACCTCTGGTAATGCATGTTGATTTTTTGTCTAAGAATATGTAATGGTATTATAAGTTAAAATATAGAATATCATGAAAGATCATCAGTAGGCAAGGTACCTTGCGTATGCCCTTAAGTGAGGAACCAGATGAGCCATTCTGAAACGATTACTTAAAAACTGACGAATGAAATTAACAGCTTTCTAAAGCCATACATTTATGCAGAGAAATGACTTTTATTTACAGTACACAATGCTACTGGAAGAAAATCACAATAGATTCACTAATATATTCTAATTATGATATTGAAACGGTGGAAATATCCCATCATAAAAAATTCAAAAAATATATATATAAGAAATTCCAATATATACCTTATCCCACTGGCAATGTATTCACCCGGTTTGCTTAGTGGTTAGAAAGTCTGCTCTAGTGGTGGAGTAAGAGTAGATTCTTACGTCGTTGGTTCCACTCCCACTGTAGGACCTAAAGACCATTTTGATGAGACCGTATAAGGTATTGCTTCGTAGTACCTGCTAACATGAAAAAAATCCCTTACTGATCAAAGGCAGTAAGTGCCGACTTTAGGTCAAAAATTGCAGCTCTCCACTGGTAAGTGGTGGCGTGTCCATATGAGTGATAATTATCGAGAGTTATATTAAATAGCAAGCAAATTAGCAACAATATTATATACATTTCTATGTAAATCCAAAATTCTTACTTGAAAATATCCATCAAGCATTATGCTTATTAAAATATATGTGCATAAATAATTCAAAGAAAACCTCCCTGCAAATGATGTGCATAATGACATGTTCAGCTTCAGTTAAATATAATACATGTGTTGATCAGACATATCAGCTGAACAGAGGACATGAGGATGTTTATATGAATATATAATTCAAGACGCCTATCTTTTATTCCGAGGTTGAAATTGTAGCATACATAGATTTGCTTGGGAGAAAGTTACCTTTACAAAAGTGACTTAATCACTTTTGAAATAAATTAATTTGAGTTTTAACGTTTGTTGGATTACTTTTAAGTTTTCAGAATAAAAAAGTATCCTCTGTCCTATATAAGTGGCAGTAAGAGAAAAACGATGAAACATGCCAGATTTAAGGAATAAGACAGTTATTCCTTATATTTACATGCTTTGATTTCGCCAATCCACGTGCTCCAAGACCTGCTTCTGTCTAGTTGTTTGTCCCGCCCTGCACGTGGTTTTTTTTGAACCGCGCCAAAACATTCACGAGGAAATAAATTACATTTACATTTGGTAATTTTATCTCGGACAAAGACATTGGAAATGTAAATATACAAGAATAGTTACGTAACATAAACCCACTTGAACATGGGTATTTCGAGGAAAGGATGTGGAGTTAGGTGAATTACGAATGACCATTACTGTTATTGCTTAGGGTCATTATTGTAATTATTTCTAGATTTGCAGACAATTTTAAATTATTTTGGTTCAAAGTTACAAGAACTGTTTCTGATTTTTATAAAAATGCATTTCACACTTAATTTTGATGACTGTAATTTTTCATAGAAAAAAAATTTATCAAGGCATAAAATAGAAATACGTTGATTAAAAAATTTGGTGTTTATTTTTAGTACACTTAGAACGATTATTTATGGGTTAAAGTAATGAAATAACCATCCTCATTATAAAAATAACTGTCTGTGTGTTAATCCTATATTTCCAGATACCAGTGGGATAGATTAAAGGTTTTATCGTTTGTGTCATTTAATGTTCTTAAAATTATACATTGCACACACACCAGAGAAGATAGTTAAGTGTTTTCTATTCCAATTTATTTTTTCTCTATTTTTATCCTTCCTCCTTCCTGCCTTAATCATTCCACGAATCTTGAAACATGAAAACTCCCAGCTCGACCCGTCTTTTAACTATTTTAAATTGATACTAGAAATTAACACATTTAGACATAATTTACTTTTTTTTTAATTTGGCAAGACCATTCATTACATTCATGGAAATAACAGTGAAAGTACGGATTTTTACAATCAGTGGGTTTCTTAATCGCCTCAAAGTGTCCAAACTCTGGATACTAGGATCTTCCTATAAATAATCTAACACACAACAAATTAGGTAGATGTCATAAATTTAATCTTTCACGCTGGAAATGTGTTATTTCTAAAGAGCTAATCTGAAAACTCCATGTTTTGAAAATGGCACAAAAGACTTTTTTTTAAATTAAGCATGGTCATGTTATTGATCTAAAACTTTCTAAAACTTATCTAATGACAAATTTTCATGAGAAAGAAATCTTTTATTATGGACTTTGTAATTTTTTTTAACAATAAACATTTATCACCTGCATATAACCTAAAGTTGACTTTTCGAAAACTTTGCTCCAATAATCCGAGAAAATGTAAGGTTACTCTAATGTTGAATGATGTTTTTCATAAATAAATAGTTCCGCCATTATTATGCATAAAGAACTGCAGAAAGAAAAGTCCTTTTAAGCCGATCACGACAAGAAGCATACAGTAGCTGTGACACATAAACAAAGGGGTTTACTTTAGACAATAAGACAGAAAGACAAAACGACAGACAGACTGACGTTTACGGACCGAAATAATATACCCATTTCTGAGTGAAAGCGGGGACAATGAATAATTTATTTGATTTTTTTTTCTTACAGACCGGTAACAGCGTATCAATAAAATAAATAGTAAATAAATAGTGACCCCCTGGACACAGACTCAACTGAGCTTTTTCATTGATCATACATACTGGTAGTTCGACACATACATGGGTTCATTGTCCTTACCCAGATTTAAGAAAAAGTATATTTAGAGGGAAACAACTACGTGTGCAATGTGAAAATGTGTACATGGATGACACAGTTTAATTCTTTTTTATTTTGATTGTATGACAAAATGTCAAACTGCCGAGAACATGTTTATATTTTTTCTTGCTCATTTTAAAGAACTATCAATGATTTAGTCAGGTACAATATTTACATGTACATGTAATATGGTATGCTAAGATGATTTGAGGCACATGATTGACACTGTGTTTTTCTACTGTAATCCAACGCAAAATTACAAAGATTTAATCTTTAAACACCATCAAGAAATGATGCAAGAATATACCGTTTCTTACTGAATTACATTCAATGTACTGTAAGTGGCAATAGGTTAAATGCATGATTTAATAATAAATAAGCTATCGGTATATTCATTTATTTAAGTGTAAAAATAAAGAAACAAGAGGCCCATGGGCCTTATATGTCACCTGAGCATTATGCAACAACATTCCAGTGATTGAATTTGATTCATGTTTTAAGCCAGATGCTATGGCATTCACAATTTTGAAAGAGGCACCATTGATCATCAAAATTATACACTTAGCAATTGCTTAGTTTGGTTACTTAATACACATTGGCAGGGTAGGGGAACAAAAAATGCATTTCAACTAATCAGTAATATTCAGCTATAATCAGTAGTACCCCTACCACACATGAACCCCAGGGGCCCGTTTCATCAAAAGTCATAGATTTAAGCCTTAACTTAGGCATAATTCCGGGGCTTACGCCAAAATTTAGTCGGGCATAATTTGCGTTTCACCAAGTGGCGTAAGTCTAGTCGTAAAATATACGCTTAGTCGCAGGACTAAGTCCTTGACAACGCAGCATTGCGCAGGCGCTAAAACATAAACATTGTCCACTGTGTTAAAACATATAGTGTAATATTGTAGCACATCAAATTACAGAATAACATAAATTATAGATTAATGATTACCTGCACTGATTGATACATGCACGGATTAATAGAGTAATGTAGGAGATATATGCATCTTATAAGAAATCGATTTTCGTTTTTTAAAAAACTTCAATAATAAAAGTCATAGATTGAAAGTAAGAAAATGATCGTACATGTGTATATATTTCTGTATAAAGGTAATTCATTTATTTTGGAATTTTACAGCCCCCCTTTCCGAAATTAAAACAAATTAATGCCTTCGCCTTTAATAATAAATTTGAAAATTTAATTCGACTCTACTGAAAAATACTAATGATTAAGTTTGAGACAGTATTTTTAACATTTTTTTAAAATTATATATTTTTATAAGAAATGTATACTTGCAAGCAAAAATAATGTATAAAAAGTTTTCATATGTACCCATATTGAGTCAAGAAATAAATACTACACATCTACTACTAAGGTTCACGTAAGACAATCCTTTCTAAGTCTATTAAATTTTTGTCAATTCAAATGATTCATTATAATATTATTGTTTATCAAAATGGCACAAAGCTTCATAAAACAATTTCGAATACTAGTACTAGATTGCAGGTTCATACAGTTATAGACAAAGATTCTTTACTATCTAGAGCTTAAAATTGATGAACCGTTTTTCAAGTACGCAG